AGAGATGTGATCAGGGCTGACAGCAGGAGGTCATTTGTTACCAGTGTTGGACTGGCAGTGTCCCCAGAATCAATTTTGGAACCTTGGTGAAAAAACAGATCAGCAAAGTTTTGGGATTTCGATATTTGCATATCAAAATAATGTCATGCAACTGCTCAGAAACTTTTCTTCTTTATCATGATGCCATCAGAAATACAGATGGATGTCCAAAATGATAATACTAAGCATTCCTTTCCAGCACGCAGTATTTCAGCCAAGATCACTGGTATGTTCTGGCTACTTCACGCTACTCTAATTAAAACTCAGTCATCCTTACAGCTGCTTTATATTCCTAGAGCACTGCACAACAGCTGGATCATGCCGTTGATTTTGGCCCTTAATCTCCTTGGAAATTACTGTGTGAATATCAAAACTTTGGCCCTTTCTGTCACCATTTAAGCTTCTGCCACCTACATCTCTGGCTTCAGCACAGGACACCTTTGCATTTGGATAACGTTGGAAAAGTATCAACATTATAAGGGAAGACAGAGTAAGTATTAATGTTACATTGATTTTGGTAGGCTTTTAAAAAAGAAAGGCTTTTAAGGGCATTACCCCCAAGAGTGACAGATTGTCTGCTGCAGTCACTGCCCTGTAAGACTTGCTGCAAAATAAATCTGCAAGTTTAAAAGAAATTTCGAAAGAGGCCAAGTCTGATCTCCTTTAACGACAATCATATTCTAATTAGCCAGATAATACAAAACACCAGGTCAATTTGCTAAGCTGATCTCTTGCTGTTTTAACGAATTTTGAAAAAAACATAAATTTGCATCTGTCCTTTGTGGGCCTGTATTGATTTACATTAAGTAGAAACACACTTTAAATATTCATTCCTAATTTCTCTGTTAACAGGCTTATAAGCCCATAGTCAACTGCTCAGTCTTTACATGGCTTCATGAATTGTTATTTCAGCTCCCACAGGGGCAGATGGATCAAAATGGCTGTCTTGAATTATGATTTGACAGGGTGACCACTTTTTGTGAAGTCTAATATATTCAGCTAATTGCATCTGGGTGATTATGCAGTGCTTCAGGTGGATGATGTGTCTCAACTAGTCATGTGTTCAATTTAAAATTAATTGTGCGCCTTCAGGTCTAACAGTTGAGTCATCTTACTATAGAGAAATCACTAATATGGCATGTTACTAAGCAGAATACTGTAATATAATAATCTGTTTTCCACTGGAAAACATCTACAAGACAGTCTTTAAATATTTATTCTTAAAACATGTAGGATGTCCTAGAGCTATGAAACCATTCACTGTAAGCCATAAAAAATAGGTTTGGTTTAGAGATGAAAGTGGCTGGGGGCTGTGACCCACAGGGACTCAGAAGGAAACACTTAGAAAATAGAGACAGATTGAATCCCAAGTGCTCTCTCCCAAGAGGAAGCATGGTTGGAAAGTTTAAAACCCATTTAAGTTAAACAAATTGAGAAGCCCTATCTGAGAGGAAACATAGTACAGTGTTTATTTTTCCATTACAAATCCAAAACCTAAAAGATTTCCTGAGGTTCTCAGGTATTGTTCATACTTATAATGGAGATCTGTTTTTAGAAAGTGTTTAATCCAAACTGTTTGATGAAAAACACACTGCATAAACATTCAGGAAGCTAAAGGCCATTGTATACCTGTATCACATATTGTTTGGATAGGAGCAGACCTACAATGCTAGGAATTTCTGTGAAACTCTCTTGCTCGAAAACATTGGGTCTAATTTTCTCTCCATTTATGCTGGACTGAATTCCACTGAATTAATGAAGACATGAGTATCAAGTGACAATAAAAAGACAATCTTCCTGCTGTGTGAGACTACAGAAGCGCAAGGCTAATGTGAGCAAGAGATTTATAACACTGACCTGAGTCAAGCAAGTAGCAAGCCAGAGCAGGCCCAGTATAATTTAGCCAAGCTGATTAGTCAATGTATTTTACGTTTTGCCCCATCACTAGTGACCTGCTGCTCTGAAATCCTTATCAGAAAAGTGTGAGGTGTTATTGATGTTGAGAAGCTTCTGTTTGACTAATGAACAAGCTGCAGACCAAATCCAGAGATAAATTTAAGTGAGAGGAAATACTTGGAAACAGTGGAATATTATTCATTAGATCTATTGAAATAAAAATTTAGCAATACAGTAGGTCAAGAGATAGAGCTGAGGAACATTTGTCATAGTCTAAGACTGCAGTGTAGGTGCTTAAGAGGACAGATATGAGCATTCCATAACCATGACCTGACATTTCAGAGAAATCTTCTGGAAAGACTGCATTGATCTTGCCCATTACCTCTTAGTGATTTCATGCTTCTGTGCTCTTTTTTCAAACTTCTTTTCAACTTTCCTTTGTGGGACTTACTAGTGATTTTGTGCATTATTTGCCAACTGATTTACTCTGCATTCACCATTTTTCTTCATTACCTGGAATAAAATCATTGCTTCATTTAGGGAAACTACAGAGTAACCTTTGTCAGGCATTGTCATTCCACTCTTGTGGAGAATTTTTACTCAAGGAATATGCTTTTCTAAAATTTTATTGCATTTCTGTTTCTCAAGTAAACCACATGTTAAAATAAGAGCTACTTAACAACCTGCTTTGTTTTGCAGTGTTGAGTTGTAAATGATCAAAATGTCAACTGAAGGAAAGAAAACACTGGAACATGTTATTTACCATTTTCCTGCATCACTTTTAAGTTCCATAGATTTAAATTCATATTAGCATCTTGGCTTGGTGAAAATGATGGTTACCCTTACTTTAGGACTTTGCTTCTGCCACACACAGATTTGTTAAAATGGTTGAGCTTTCTACCACAGTCTCTTGAGCATCACAGTATTTTCAGTTTATAGTAGATTGTTGTTCTTTCCAAAGGCAGTATTTCCACTGTGGCTTTTTTTGTAAATAATTTTGTTTATAAATGCATCTTTATGTTTGTTTCTTTCTAGGCAGGGATGAGATCCCGAAACCAAGGTGGAGAAAGCTCGTCTAACGGGCACTTCTCCAGTTCCAAGCCTGTCATCAGCCGTGCAGAGAATGAAAAACTTCAGGAGGATGCCAAGAAAAAGAACAAACCTCATCGGAAGGAAGATGAGGTCATGGCTTCAGCAACTGTCAAACGGCACTCAAAATCACCTGGACCTTCTGAACGAAAGAACAAGAAGTCCATAGAGCTTTCTAAAGAGGACTTGATAAAACTACTTAGTATAATGGAAGGAGAATTGCAGGTAAATTAAATATCTTTTAAACCATGTTTTCTATGTAGCTGTTTATTTTTAGTTTATCCAAAGAGCACAGGGCTCAACGGACAGGGACATGCAAATTAAAGGCAAAGGATCACAAGGAGAGAGCTGTGGTCGGTGTTTAACAGTTTTAAGTACTACTTTATTTACCATCTCTATCTGCAGCTACCAAAGCAAAATAAATTACTAACACCTGTCAGAATTGACAAGGAAATGGGGTTCTGCAGATGAGGTAGAAAACCGCCACAGGGGAATCAGTTGCAGGGGGTGGGAAAAAAGGGAGGGGCAAGACAAGCAAATATAGTGAATGTAATTACCATCATTAATGAAAATATTCAAGAGAAAAATCTGCAAGTCAGAAATACAGAAAATGAACTTAAGATGTCCCCTGGACCTTCTGCATATTCAGATGTTGCTGAAGGCTCAGCCAAACCTCTGCCTGTCCCATCTGGTGTCCAGCGCTCTGCACAAAGACCCATTAGGTTTATTTCTTGGAGTAGTGCTTGCTTGAAAGCTTTCTCAATTGTCCTGGTTTGCATGTTAATTCTGCCCAGTAGTAAGTCCTTGACAGCAACCAGCACTCAACTTGTCCCCCAAATGTCTGTCCAGTTTTGAGATTCTCTTTGATGCTAATAAGTCATTGAACTCTCATTAGTGTCAGCCTTCAGGGAATTTCAAAATAAGGAGCTGAAAGGTGGTATTTCAAATAGTCCATATGAAGACTTCTGGCTTTTTGAGACTTACCCCTTCTGTGGTAGGACTGCTTACCAAATCTATACATTCTTTTGGTTGTGCTTTAGTGATCTTTTTCTCTGACCCTATGGACAGGCTGCCCAACCTGCGTGAAAACATTTTGTCTTAATCTCTTTATTCTAGTTAAGCATTATTATTTAGCATTTCATATAAGGTCTTACTTTTCCCCTGAAACCCTCGTTCATAACATTTTTACTTTAATTTTGAACTTGTTACCATCTTAGCTGATTACAAGAAGTGTATTGTTAATTTCTTTGATACATGAGTCACCTGAGTTGCACCATTACTGCAACTCTGAGATTCCATCTCATTAAATGTCATTAGGTATCACTTTTTCTGTACATATTTCACCTCTGGTTTGTCAGAAAATACTTTCAAGTTACAGGAAGTATGCATTCAAAATAAATAATTTTGTCAAAAACAGATAATGGTCATTTTACAATGAAAAACTGAAGGAAAAAAGGGAAGAAAATCTGTTGAAATTGCAATTTTGCAAAGGAAAAAATGAAATTGTAATTACAGACCAGTCCTTCATTTTACTTCATACAAAAACTTGTATATATCACTTCTTTTTTAAAGATGGAGCTAGCATGTAGCTTCTGTGGTGAATAGAGTCAAACCTCAAAAGAAATGTATCATGCTTGTGTGGTTCAAAAAGATTTACCCTGAAGTCACCTCTGTCATCTGGAAAGGGGAGCTTAAAAAAAGTTTCCAGTGTGGTAATAAATGTGATCTTTATTATTTGAGTAATTCCCCTGTTCTTCACCATAAGCTTTTACTTCAAGAGGTAGCTACAGAACCTTCAAAGAACTGCTCATGTTCTCATAATCCCTATGTAGATGGTGGGGATAGCTGCAATCTGCGCTGTGCAATATGGGCTGAACATCCTCAACAAGCTGATACTTCCATTGTCCTGGACAATACTTTTACGTATATTCGTTCATACAGACCCCACAGAGATGCGAGGCACTGCTAAAGCTTCCTGACATGACAGGAGGATTGTGAGGACAACCACACTGGTAGCCATAGAACACGACTGTTCTTCTGCTCCTTGTGGCCACAGGAGTTTTTAATTTCATTTCAACCCCCCCCCCATTTTAGTTATTTTCCCGGTACCTGCATTGGCCCATTTCTGAAGTGGGCAAGCTACAACACTTTGGCTTGAGATGAGAGCCTGGTTTTAACATCGCAAATGAAAATTAGCCAAGGAAGACTCCAGCCAAAGTAGATAGACTGGTATTACCTCCTGGCTGTCACAGTGACTTAAGGCACTGAGTCATTTCATGGCTTTTGATTTTCATATCTGTTTGGACATCTCTGGTGGCTGGCTAGCGTTTTGTTAGACTGACAAATCAGACTGTGGGTTTATTTTGAAGCCATTTCAATGCTGGCAAAACAAATATTATATAGGCATATGGAATAAGACTTTAGTCTGAGAATGCCACCAGGCTGTATCTGTAGGGAGGTCCATTAGTTTTTGAATTAAAAAAATGGGATAAAATACCATGACTGTTTACTGAGCAGCCATGAGCAGGGGGCATCTTATGCCTGTACCACTGAACAGTAACCCCCAAACAGTGAGCTCAGCCATGGGAAGTAATCTGGTCATGACAACCATGGGATTAGCAGGGTAAACTGGTGTGGTGGTTTGAAAAGCACAAGAATTTCAAAAAGGCCAATTTAAAGGGGTTGTTACAATTTGGTCTAATGTGAAAGGGAAGAAGTTTTCAGACACATACAACTTGGTATTAGGGGGAGGGAAATATTTACAAGTTTATTTACATGCATACATACATACATACATACATATATATATAACAACTTAACTATTTCTTCTACATATACAGTAAAATAATATATTACATTACATAAGTCCCTCCTTTCTTCCAAAAAGAGTCCAGGAGAAAAAGGAGGAGAAGTCTTTTTTCACTTTCAAGCTACAGTTCTTCTAAATTAATTTTTTTGGCACTGTTAAATGTCTCTTATCTTGTCTTTATCTCCTGGTTTTACTTTGTGAAAATCCCAGTTCCCAAGGCCCGAGCTTCCGAGCTTCTCGGAAGACTATTTGGGAATTCCACCCCTCCTTCCCACGGTGAAGAAAAGCGGCAAGGCCGGCTGAAAAAAACCACTCCTGAGGAGTTTTTACTCCCGTAGTCTTAGCTAGGCTAGGACCTGCGGGGGCCCAAGGACTTCCCCCTCAAGCCTGGGGGAAAGATTCCCTGCGGCACTTACATATCTGGGCGTTGCAGCTGCTTTCCCAAAGGTCAGGGCTTTCTCTCAGTTTAGCTCTCTCTCCCAGTTTAGCCCTCTCTCCCTCACCACTCCTTGATTCACGCTGGCTCCGTTCCAATACTGTATGTCCGCCAGTCGCAAGCCTCTGCCCGGCCGACTAAACACTCCGCTGCCGTTTTCCTCCTCCATCTCTGCGAAGTGGAGAAAATTCGACCCGGAGGTCTTTCCTGATCCTCCAGGGTACTCCTCAATCACCGGCTTCGGGGCGGGGAGAGGGAGCTCCACAGCATGGGTGGCTGCTCCTGGCCCAGCTGGCAGGAGCCGGGGGCAAGGGCCCCCCGGCCCTGGGCACACCTGGCACGCTTAAGGCATGGCTGCCTCTGCTTCTAACCACGCAGTCCAGAATTAACCTCTTCTCTTCCGCTTCTGTGAGTATGTGACTTCCGCATGAGCGTACGAAGCTGTTAATTGGTCCCATATCAAAAACAATACCTCCTGAGGAAAAGCCTTTTTCAAACCACCACAACTGGTAATCTACTCGTGTATCATGGGCTTAGTTCACTATTCACATCATGTAACAATAAAGCAAACACAGATCCATGCCACGTTGCTGTTGGTATCAATTTTGAGTCCTTACTTTAGGACTTGACCCCCCAGCTCTTCATTTTGAAGGCAAACATGCCAGAAGACCATGGGGACATGCCCTGGCAGTGACGTTTTATGTCATCATTTTTAACTTTATTATTTTTTTAAATTATAATGACCTCAGATAGCTTGCCTGTGCTTTAGCTTCTAGGACCAAGTTGGACTCAGGTCTTCCTGTCTTCAGGTTCCCTGGCTAGACCCTGTGAATTTACTGAATATAGAGAAGGAAAGCTTTTCATAAATGTCAGAGGTCACTGTAGCCTATTCCTTATTTTGTAAGAAAACAAAAGGGGAGAAAAAGTATACAGAAGCTACAGTGATGTGTCCCAATATACGTGGAGCCAGAGAGCTCTTAAGTACAACCTCTGAAGGAGAGTGGGAAACAAATGAACTGATGACAGGGACTGATTTTAAAGGCCTTATAGCTCAGTGGAATGTATTTGCTCTTTTGAGATCCAACTGCTCATATAAAAAAGCAGTGATTACATGGTCTTTAAACCCATATTGACTATATAGGGGCAAAAAAAATCCATGAAGGAATTCTGCCTATACCTGGAAGAAAAATCTAATTTTTAAATGCTGCAAAGCTGATTTGAAAAGAAAACTTCAAATACCTTAGAATAAGTTAGACCATGAAGATATGGCATTAATTTGCCTGGTTGTTACAGTGATTTCAGTCAAACCCACGTGTGAATATTATTAATTACAGAGCAACACAGGCAGTGGATCTTTACAATGATAGTATAGTCCTATCTGTGGTTCACAGATTTTTGTCCAATGGCCTATGTATTTGTCCTGGCAGGAATATATTCCCTTTCTGTATGCTTTCTGAGCAGCAGCTATTAATCTCCTGCAATACCAACACTGATTTTCAACATTTCCTGACTGGGGGCCCAAAAGGAAATGAGGAGCAGTATTCAAACATGTTTATCATTCACTCTTCTATTGCATGTTTGGGAAAAAAAACCCAGAATAATACAACTGTGTTTATGAAGACAGCATCCCACTACAAATCATTAAGTTTTTCAAGAAAAATAATTTCTTAGCCATGTTCTGTGCCTATTGCTGACAATTTAAGCTTGGGAGACAGTTTGCTATATGTCACACCAATTTAAATAGGATCAGCCTTTCCACTTGAGGCCTTTATTACAGTCAGTGTTTTACTGTGTTTCCCCAGTGCAAACACGGCATTCCTCCCTTTCAGCTCAGCCACCCATTCCTGTGGAGGACCTTTGCATGCTTTAGGGCTGAAGGAAATGTTTCCTGAGAGCCTGGCACTGGGGAGGAGCAGAGCTCCACAGAGCTAGGCAGCCATGGGGCATAAAGGAAGTGCATGTTAAGTTGTCAGCTGTACGTTTCCTCTGTTGCAGACCTGAGGATGCAGATAGGCAATATGTGAAATATGATGTCTTGGGGAACAGTACTGATAATATACCAGTGATACGCAGATTAACCACAAGACACAATTCCTGAGAAGTCTTCAGACTTCCAAACGACCTAATATAACACTGGGTTTGGTTTGACATTTGAAGGGAAACACTTTGTAGCAGATATTCAGAGGTAAACCTATTTGAATAGCATCCCTCCTTCAGAGAGAGAGAGAGACCAAAAGACTCTGTTGTCAAACAAGCCCTTTCCATTAATCTATATTTATATAAGACCGCATTTAATGGTTAATTTGAGTGCTCACACAAGAGAGAGTGCAACAGGTTGTTCTAGGGCAGGTTGCTTGTGGTTGAAACAGGATAGTTGCGGGGGGAAGGAGTGTCTCATCCAACAGACCCAGGAGGAGCTCACCTTCAGGGCTGCAAGATTTTCTTTTTGACCTGGGCGTTTCAGGGAATGGTTAGCAGAGGTTTGCGAGGAATGTGTGTTTTGTTCTCTCTGGCAAAGTCCTTATGAAACACTTAGATCAGTGGTTGCACATCCTGCCACGAGGGAAATCCCCTCTCTTAACTAAGTCAGTTAACAGGTACTCACATGGGTATAGGTGATATATCTATGACTACCTGTTGCATTCTAACATTTTTTAAAGGTATTTTAATATTTTACCATCTATCTTTCTATCAGAAAATTAAGCTTTGTAAATGTAAAGGAAAGGAAAAATCTTTACTGTTTCCATCTTTCTGCTTTTTACTTTCTTTCCTGTTTGTATAGCCACATATTTTATTAATATATTTTATTCTATAATCATTCTGTTCTGCTCTCTTTCCTAAGATCTAACTTTCCCTCTTCACTTTCTTCCCCTTCTTTATCTCTCTAGTTTGTTACCTTTTTCCTTATTCTACCTTTTTGTCACTTCCCAACTCAGGCTTTCCTCATCCTCATACTCCAGATGCATTGACCTGAGAATCCTGGAGATAAAACTGTGGAAGATCTACTGTAAATCAAGTTCCAGCAGCTAATTTTTTAAGGCAACCACTTCATTTAACCCTTGTCATTAATTTATTAAGCTGTGTTTTTAGGTTAGGTGGATTGTTCATCTTGACTACTCCTATTGGAAAATAGTCCCAGAACTGAAAAGCTTTAATGTTTAGAACTAATTTCCCTCTTTTAATTTCTAATGCAATTTTAATTAAGTTCTAGTGAAACCTTTAAGAAATTGTGCTATAAACTAATCCTGCTTAGAAAAGCCTACCTCCCTACTATTTAGTGCCTGATGTGTTTGTGGACAGCAGTCTCCTATCCTCTGAGCCTTTGTTTTTGCTGTGTTACCTTGCCACATCCTTTTAGTTTCCTCTAGCAAAACAGTCTTTCTACAATTTCCATCACCCTTTGATCAGCACCCTGGGTTCATCTTTCTTGATATCTGTGGCTGGAACTGCACATGGTGCTGTAGGAGAGAGCTCACTGGTACCTTGTACATTGGGTTTAATATTTCACTTTCTCTGCTGACATGGCATTACTTGGCCTTCCCATCACTCATCAGTCTGACTAATACAAGCAAGAGAGTTTGACTCTGTAGCTATAATTGTGATGTTTTTCTGTCTCTTTTTCCTCTTTCTGCAATGTGTATACTTTCATGTAATGCCTCAAGCTGCTTTTGTATCAAACTTGACTTTCCCAAGATGTCTTAACGACATTGTGAGAGACACCTAGCTGTTGCTTAGGTAAAAACACTGTATAAACCTCTATATTTTTTCTTCATTGCCTTTTTTTGATACTCTTGCATTAGCATTGATAAATAT